TTGATGACTTATTTCCGATAGTTGTAGTTTTCGACTGAGGAACCTCATTGGATGAATCTTAATAAATAACGATAATACAGTAAGACAGATAATTAAAGAAAGGCTGTATATAAACCATTAGATACTTACTTAATTTTTCTGCGTCTTGGATCGGTTTCCTTGGAGGTAAACGTGGTGGAAGTTTCGGTGGCGCCTGAGAATATATAGAATATTCATATTAAACAATTTATTGAAACGGTATTGGGCAACCTCTAAATCCAGTGAATTTTACTGGAAACTATCCAGTGTCCATTGATCTATTGCCTTACTTAACCTTAACAGAAGGTTCTTATTGATAAGAATTGTATGCAGTCTTATGATTTTAAATTCACCGGATAATCCAATTGTCCGGTTACCCAAACCTAAATTATTGAAATAATATATGAATAATACCTTTTCTTCGCATACTTCTACATAATTCTCCGGTATAAGTCCGAATTCCTGAGAATTTTCCTTTCTACCGCGCAACCAACCTAGTTCTTCCGTTTCGACCACTAATTAAGTATTAGAACAATGGTTCAATTAAATAAAATTGTTTTAAAGATATCCTCCGACACGATAAAAATAGCTTACCATCGACGATTATGTCGCCTTTCCTGAAAGATAACTCCGAAGCATCTTCGGCAAAACAATCATAAAGTGCCTTAACTCTGAGCGGCATGTTTATAAGAATATATTTGCAAATGTGTAAATTTGTACCGAAAATGGCTCGTTTTTGACTTGTGTAGAATAGCCTTGAATTAAAGTAGGGAATGTAGCATAACGATAATGAATTTGTTAAAATAATTTTGTCCGGTTAAAAATAAATCAATATCTGCATGTTCTGTTATTGATAACAAATCCTGTGACTTATAGTAGATAGATCAGGTTCTTACTGTACTCTCGATACGACGTGAGGACCCCGGATAATTCTAAAAGAGGTGGTATTACCAAAACTTTCAAATTCTGGCCAAAAAATTATATTTTTATTTTTATTTATTAAACCAGACTTTTTTTTTTTTTTGGCCCAAACTTCCTAAATTCTGGTCAAATACCACCTTTTTTAGAATTATCCGGTGTCCATGCAACTTCGTCTTTTACGTAATACATAGAAAATTTTGTGCATGCATTAGAATGTGATCAGACATACAGATACGTACACGTATAAGTCTGCAACTATTAGAAATCTTTTTTTCAAGAAAGCGGTAATAAAAATATTACCTGCTCTCCCCTTGATAGGATAATGTAATTAAAATCGGCTCATTGACTAAGTAAGCCAATAACTTTATCGGCTGCTTAGTTATAATTACCGGCCAGGAATACTAGTTAATTAGTTCTCGACTACATATATATATATATATATGCTGTATGACATTAGATTTTTTTAACTCCTTTCTCTTCCCCAAAAAAATATTAAATAGTGCTTCCCTTAAAACCGCAATCAGATTATAATCTATTTTAATCGTTTTGTTACGTACTATATATTACTGTTTACTAAATAC